AAAGGAGTGTTGGGTGTAGTGTGTGTATTTTGTGTTTCGTTTTTTAAAGAGGTTCGTGTTTGTCCGAGGAATGATCGTGTTGTAAGTATTCAGTCATATAAAGTAATGTAGATTCGCTTTTTTCTCTCGCTGTGTCTCACTCATATTTCACATTTAGTTAAATTTCTCTCTCTCTCTCTCTCTCTCTCTCTCTCTCTCTCTCTCTCTCTCTCTCTCTCTCTCTCTCTCTCTCTCTCTCTCTCTCCCTCCCTCTTATTTACATCATCACTGTTATCAGTAATGTTTCATCATCATAACTATCATTATAACTATTACCATTATTTCTGTTATCACAATTGTCATTATTATTAGCAGCACTGGTATTATATACCTTATCATAATTTTCATTCTTATTACAATTATCAATATTTCGATTGAGATAAATGATATTAACATTAATATTATCAATGACATTATTAACACCTGGCGAAGGGGGAAGAGGTTTAAGAAGACTAAATTAGCTTATTGTCAACAGGATTAGGAGAAAAGTTTCCGACGGATTGTGATGAAAATCTATGGATCGTTGCCCATAAGCCGAGGACCAGCTGATTAGGGATTCATCATAAGGACTACCCGTTCTATAAACAAATAGCATAAACACATAAATAAAGATAAAATAAATCGAAGGGCATTATTTTTTTGTTATTATTCTTATTGTTTTTAAATGTGGTAGACTTGTGTATTTTGAAATTAGATTTTTGTTTTGTCATTGATATTTTTTTACCATCGGTGCTTATCATTACCGTTGTCATTGTAGTTCACTTTACTGTTATCGCAAATACTGATTCGTAATTTTCAATGCTAATGTCATGATTACTGTCATCAATGATTTGATTGCATTGGGAAGTAAGGTCTGTAAATCACATACAACGATACCCTGCTAATAACGGGCGGCACAGTGCAAATGACTGTATTCATTAGCAAGCAGTATCATTCTTAACGTAAACTTTGTTATTTATATATGAGTTTGAAAGCAAATTTCTTTCATGAGTTCCGTTCGGGGAAATGGTCTTTTTTTTCATTTTTCTTATTTTCTTTCTTTATCTTCTATTTATTAATCTTTTCGTTGATTTACTTTACAAAAATCTGTTGGTATCCGTTTTAATCGGTTGTGCAGCAGCAATATATAAAACCCTGTGATACCGTTATATATATTTTTTTTTTTAATATTTATTTACACATACATAGACACTCCTTTATTTGTACGTTCTTCGACTAAAATAAACATCTAACTGTATTCATTTCACCACACAGAATCTTCCCGTGACGCCCGTGGCCATGCCCTCTGCACCTGAGCTATGTCTGACGAAGGAGAGGACGACGAAGAACTACCAGAAGATCGGAGAAACGGAGCCTCGCGCGTGAAAACACGTCGGAAACACGTCACGCTCCTGCTAAGTCATGTGACGTGTTCTATGGTCGCCATGGAAACAGGCTGGAGAAAGCGAGATTTGACTCTGCACTGTGAAAGGAATGTGGGAATCCTAGTTACGAAGTAGTTACTCGAAGGGAAAGAGAAGGAGAGGGAGCATAGACGAGAGGAGAAAGAAAAGAAAGACAAACAAAAAAAATACACATATCGTTTTCTTAACAATACGAAACAAGGGGGGGAAGAAATCATCCACCATGAACACGACAACGAGAGAGAATAAGGACCCTACAGAACGCAGAAAAAATCGAAACACGGACGACTCGCTAACACACACAGGATGGTCGTACAGACTACCACTACCTCAGACCCCCGACGACCCCAAGGACCCGAGAACGACCGCCTCCACCCTCGCCACGACCCACGACTCCTCGAGAAGAAAGAGGACCGCCCACGCAAGTCTTAAGATGCTGGGCGTGGTCGCGGTTCTAAGTCTTTGGTCAGGCAAAGCGGCAGCGCAGGATACAAGCATACGGCTTCGGCAAGGAACCGTCCAGGGGGTGAGTGTGTGTGTGTGTGTGTGTGTGTGTGTGTGTGTGTGTGTGTGTGTGTGTGTGTGTGTGTGTAGAAAGATAGACCGAGAAATATATATGTGTGTAAATGTATGCATGTGTGTGTGTTTGTGTCGTAAAGTATGCGGATGTATTTAAGAGTGTTTAGGTTGTTAGATATATATATTGCACGTGTGCTTGTGCAATATAAAGAGAAAGAAAAAAATGAAAGAGAATGAGAGACAGACAGACACAGACAAGCAGACATTCAGTCAGTCAGTCCATCCGTCCGTCCGTCCGCCAGTTAGACTGAGAATAAGATGGAACGTGATCTAGCATGACTCGTATTGGTTTCTCCAACCAATCTGAAGCATATAAATACATATTGCAGTATTTACCTATTTAAAAAAACACAGGTCCTAATGCAAACTGAACAGAATAAAAAAAATAAGCCAAGTTGCGCCAGTCACCCTCACTCTGCAATCATTTCGTCAGCTTGAAAAAAAAGACATTAATGATATCCGCCCATAAAAGTGGGGGG